GAGAGAGGCCTGGTTTAAACGCTTGGGAAATTTATGCGATAAGGCCCAGAGCGAAATCCTTTCACCAGTGAGCAGACAACGATTAATAAATCAATAAAAAGCATTTATAATCATAGTTGTTGCTCGCGTTGCTGCTGCTGCTGCTGCAACTTCCGCACAGTGACAAGCGGCAATTTTAGGCGGCAACACCTTGGCAACAATGTTGCCGGTCGTTCGGTCGTCCAGAGCGGAACAATTAAGATGCCATTGAAGATGAAGATCAGGAGATGCCCATCTGAGGGGAAAATCCAGAAGGCAGGCGAAAGGAAAAAAGCACGGCAGCAACATGTTGCGCAACTTATCAAAATAATCATCATTCACATCGACAACAGCAACAGCAACAAGAGCAACAGCACAACAGCAACATGAGCTGCGCAGGCAGCATTATGATAATCGCAAACGGTGTCGGCAATGTTCAAACAACGCGAACAACAGCAAAATTGCAACTGTTTTGCAGCTCAAACACCCCTACACTGGGCGAAAATGTTCTTTGGCACCTGTCGCATGGATTTGTTTATAAGAAAATTCCTCATTCTTCATTCTTCTTCTTGTTTTTTAACTGAAATTAAAGAATCAATATATCAAGTTCTAGCTTTAAAGTTCTATCTTTAATAGATTCTTAATAGAAATCAAGGCTTATTGAATTTTCCTTTAAAACTATACATATTAAATTAATGAATGAAAATAGGAATATCTTTTTTAATTAAAAGAATACTTCAAAAATGAATAAAACAAGTCTTTCAACTGAATTTCTCGAATTAATATTTAATTTTAAGTTACAAATTTATTCTAAAAAGATCCTTATTTTTGTTTAATAATTTAGAATAAGAAACATATAAATTAGTATTTTTTTTTTGTGCATAGTGGCTGTCACCCCTTCTTTCCCCTGCCCCCTTGTCCTCCCCATCGTATCGCAATTAATAATCGAGTAGAGAGAAAAAACGAGGCGCGGCATAACTGCAACTCAACTCAGCTGAACTGAACTGAACTGAACTGCATCGTGCGCCCTTCTTTTTGATTTAAAATGTGCCGCCATCGCACGTAGGCGTACTCACACGCAGTTCACCTATCCCGCGAAAACAAGTGGCCAGACTTTGGTAGACTTTGCTAGACTTTAGCTTGCCTTCATCAGTCAAGTGTGTTGTCCGTTGGCCTGGACCACAAAAGGTTTCCCCGTTGCAGCTGTGGCAAGGCACTCCAAGGATGCAACTAGCAACTGCAACCGGCAACTAGCAACATTCAACGGTAACTGCAACATCCATGCTGCATTTGTGGGCTGATGGCGTGTGCGTGGGCTTCTGGACCTGGACTCTTACTTAGCTTTTGCTTTTGCTTTTCCTTCTGCTTTTGCCTGGGTGGATCTGAATCGAGTGGAGAGGGAGATCATCATTGATCATTGTCTGATCTTGTGACCAGTGACCAGACTGTGACTTTGATTGCCATCTGGAATTGGGCTAGAAGTCGATGGTCTCTGGCTTGAAAGAAAGTTGATGGGCTGCTTAAAAAGGTGAAACTTGAAACAAAAAAGATATTTTCTAATCAAAATTAAAGAATCCGAGATTAGCTTTAAATTAATTCTCAAATAAATAAAGTAAAATCATTAAAAGATTATTTTATTTTACTTTTTTATATTTTAATCCCCTAAGAATTTTAATATTATAATTATGAAATGTGATTCTAGTACCTCAAGAATTTGGTAAAGTTCCAATAATTTCTATTTGAGTATTAAAAAAGATTTAAAAAAAATTTAACATTTTGTTTTTAGTCCCCCCAAGAAAATGTTTAAATTCCAATAAATTCTCTTCACTTTTTTCACTTTCAAGGCTTATAATTTTGATTCCCCAAGAAAATGTTTAAGCTCCAATCAATTTTCCCTTCTTATCTCAGTGAATTTTGTAATATTTCTCGACATTAAGCCACGGCTCACACTCTATCCATCCAACCCGCCCACTTTAAAAACCACTCGGCAATTAAGTTTATAAATAAATAAATCAAATGCAAATTTCTCCAGTGGCTGAGAAAAAAAAACGCATTCATAAAAAAAAAAGAAAATAAAAGCAAAGCAGGAAAAACAAAACATGAAAGGCAAAACGGCGGCCTTCTTGTGGGTGTGACATTGAGGGGTGGTGAAGGGGGGCGGAGGGGGTGGGGCAGAGGCGCCTCAGGTGAGCGGCCAAGCATGAGGAGGGGGTAGAGGGGGTTAGGAAGGAGGGGCGGCCAAGAATCGTTGGCGGCTCGTCAGGGAGCCTTAATTAGAAAATTGCTAATAACTCATGCACACGAACAAATTTCAATATTAATGAGTTTTAGGCCAGCGACGGCAGCAACAACGGGCATTGCAGTAGCAACAGCAGCAGCAACAGCAGCAGCAACATCGCCCGGGCACAGCAGCAACATATGCTGACTGAGTTTAGGAACCTGCAGCGGCGGGGGTCTTTAATTGAAAAGAACCCACTAAGAACCAACTAAGAACCGAAAAGAGCATCTTGACCAGAAACTGTGCACTGTGGGAGATCGTTTGCCCCTTTACGCTGGCTTTCTTGGCTGCCTGTCTTACGCTGCTCATTAACTTGGCTAAAAACTCAATAGGAAGCCGCCGCAGCGGCCCATCATCGTTTGACTGATTTAGTTGTCAGTAATGGTGAAAAGCCCCTCTGCCTCTTCTTCACCCCCTTTTTTTGGTTGCCCCTCTCATAATTAGCATGCAAGCGGCATAAATCGCAGCAGCAACAACAATTAACAGACCCAAATTGCATGCAACACAGCAGATTTTTCTTTATTCTTTTTCCTACCTTTTTTTATTTTTATTTTTTAGCGGCTTTCTCTGGGCCGCGGTTCTCTGTTTTCTTTTTTTTTCTAGTTTTTGTCTATATTTTTCCTACTTAGCATGCATTGCAGGCAGTCATTGACGTCTGCAACAGAACACGTAGGCAAAGCAGCGACAACAGCAGCAACAACAACTGTCAATTATATTAGTTGTTGTTACTACACACAGCGCTAATTCAAAAATCATGCGTGGGCAGCAGCAGCAGCAGCAACACGCCAGCAGCAACAGCAGCAGCAACATTGCCGCACAGCAGCAACATGGCCACTGGCAACTTCTCTTAATTAAGTGTCGACCTGCCGTTGCATGCAAATGCAAATAAAAATAAAAAGGAAAAATAAAAATAAAAATAAAAAATAAAAACAAGAAGTTTTTCCCTCTGTTGCTGCTGTGCCGCTGAGATGTTGCTGCTGCTGCTGCTGCCGATGTGTCGACCTTTAGCCATTGCGTGTTGCCTGCCACTTGGGCCATAATTTCCAGGCCAACATTTTGGCTTTTCTTTTATGTGTGTGTGTGTGTGTGCGATCTTTAACTGAATGGAAAATACGGCGAAAAGGTTAAGAAAACACTAACCATTTTCAAGTGGCGGCAAAAACTAGCAAAAAAGGTGTAGAAATACAAGAGTTACCTGTCTAGAAATATTAAAAATATTCGTATTAAACTTGTGAAATATTTAAAATTAATATGAAGTTAAAAAAATATTTTTTATTAATAACTTTTAGTCAAATTCTATCTATGCTATAAAGAAAATATTTGATGAAAATCTGGAGCTCAAGATCAAAATTTAAATAGGAGTTTTATATATATAGATGGGTAAAATAGAAAAACTACACATTTTTTTTCCAGTGCCCCACTGAAAGTTCGCACGACTTTTCCAAAAGGCAGGAAAATCAGAGGAAGCGAGAAAGGGAGAGGAAACGAGCGAGAGAGGGAGACTGGGAAATAACAAAATGCATGCGTAATTTACGCTTTACGATCGCAATGGCCTCAGATACAGATTCTAACTCCTCTATAATATCGTTATCGAGCTGCGAAATCGCCTCGAGGGGCTCCAGTTCCAGGGGCTCTGTGTCGGAGGGGGGGTTGTTTTCGGAAGGGGGGTTGTTCGGGACCGAGATCCGTTGCATGCTGTGTGCCCGGTGCGTAGTGCAATAAATCAAAGTTTTATTTGTTGAAATAAATTCAGAGTTTATTGCTTCGTTATTATTTCGTTTTCTTCGTTTCTTCCCCTCTCTCTCTCTCTTATTTTTGCAACTGAGATTTCCAACACCACAAGCAACAACAACAACGACAGTTAGCCATCAAAACAGCGCCGTTTGGCCGGAAATGTTTGCTGTTACCATTTCGAGGGGCTTGGTGTTCGTTCGTTTGCCATTTCTTTCTTTTCGAGGTGCCTAATTTCAGATCGTTTCGTTGATTGCCTGGTCGATTAATTATTTGGCCATCAAATTAATGCAAACCGATGGCAGAGGCGACACTTAAAGTCGAAAAAGGCTAGAAATTAACTGCCAATTAAAGTAAAAGGCTGAAAAGTACCAATGTTTCGGACTCTTTTCTTTTTAGATATATTCAAATATTCGAATAGAGGAAAAATCGACGATTTTAACACCAAAAAATATTTTGTTTTTTATATATATTTTTGCAAACTGTGCATGTGAAAATAAAATACTCGGATGGAACTGCAAAGTCAGCATTTTGTTATGGAAATAACGCAGTGACACGCCTAGTCACGCCCTCAATTGCCTCGAACTCCCCTCGCAGATGATAACCCCCATATATAGTATAGTATATATATATATGTTTTTTTTCGCTTTTCGTTGGGTGGCAGTGACATTTGTGAACCCTGGGCTTCGATTTCGCAATTTGTTTGGCATTTGTGCAAGCGCTTTGGCATTAATTGCATCTAAAGATACCGAGATACACAGATACAACGGCTATCTGAGTGCATGTATCTCGGCGATTGATTACGCAATTTCAATTAGCAGCAGCCGTAACACCAAATTAAGAAATTATTACTCTCGGGTCGAGTCATTCGCATTCTCCTGCTCACTTCTCCACAAATAATCAAATGCCTATTTTCATTTTATTTTTTATTAATTAAATAATTAATATATATTTTTCGCTTTTATTCTTGCAGCAGCGTAAGCTGTCACCGACATGGGCAGTGAGCACTACTGCTTGAGGTGGAACAATTACCAATCCAACCTGTTAGGGGTGTTTAGTCAATTACTACAAGACGGGAGCCTGGTGGACGTCACACTAGTTTGTTCAGAGGGCACATCCATCAGAGCCCATAAGGTGAGTGTGTAAATTTTATCTTTAACTTAATATGTAAGAAATATTTTAATTGAGCCAAAATATGGTCAATTCTATCTCAAATTTTTGATTTAAACATCTCAACATCTCAATTTTTTTCATTAAAATTATACAAATACTATTTTAAAATACAAAATGTGCTATTTCTTAAAGATAAACATAATCTTTATTCATATCAAAATTATATGAATACCTTGATCTTTAAAAAAATATAATTCACCTGCACATACCAATCCTTTTTTTATAAATTTTTTTTCTGTGTTCTTTGTTTCTTTGGTCCTAACATTTAATTAATAAACTTATGTTTATATTGTAATAAGGGCAAAGCCAACTTTGTTACTCACATGAACACTTTATTTGATTTGCAAAGGTGCTTGACAAACCGGAATAGAAAATTATGGTAAAGGTGTTCAAGGTATTTCTTGCTTTTACAAAAAAAAAAAAATGAAAATGAAAAACCTTTGGAAATTTAGTTTGCAATTTTAAAAACAACTATTAAAAATAAATGTATAATTATCTTAAATGAAAAGTAATCTAATAAATCCGATATTTAAAATGTAAATCATTTTTATAATATTTTTTTTACCTTTCACAAATTTTTATACATGTTTTAACGATATATTTACTAAATATTATTTAGTAGTGAACCCTTTTCTGATTTTTCTGAAATGGGTTACCAATGCCAGTCGTATTTACTAAAGATGTTTGCAACGTTCAAAGAAAATTCCATGGTCGCCTGGGAAAATAGACTGGGCAAACAGTAACTGTAAAATGCGGAAGTTGGCGATCAAGGTCGACGCTGCAGTCGCTGTGCTTGCAGCCCCCTTTTGTTATTGTTGCGCCTCCGCCCCTCTGGCAATTTTTGTTTTTTCTTTCCTTGAAATGCCAGGCGCATAAATTAACGCAGCGGCAACAGCGGCAGCAAAAGCAACAGCAACAAGATCAAATGCAATTTACACATTTGTCAGTAAATTGTCAACTTAACGCGAGCCAAAGCAGCGACGCCAGCAGCGAATGTTGCTACTGCAACGGCAACAGCAACGGCAACGGCAATTGCAGCAACATGTTGACAAGGTCAGCGTCTAATGGAAATTGACGGCGGTGCAACCGCAGCCATCTATCTCTTCCTCCTCTCGCCAAGTGTGAGTGCATAAATCATGCGTTGCCCAGACGACAACAGCAGCAACAGCAACAACACCAGCAACACCAACAGCTACAGCAGCAACAACAACTTCGTGCTCACGTCTGTCAATTGAAATTCCTGTTAAATTAAGCGGAAAATATTTAACTGCGTTAACTGTGGCCAATGTGGCCAGTGCAGTGTTTTCCATCCACCAAGCTGAAAAGGAGAGGCAGATGCAGAAGAGGAAGAAGTTGCCCCTTGCTGTCTTGATGAAGTTATTTTTGAATCTGGCCAGGTAAACTGGTAAATTGTTCAATTATAAATGTGCATTTCAGACACTCGCAAAACATTTTCATTAGCTGGCGAAGAGGAAGGAGGAGCGATGATCAGAATGAAAATGAGAATGGGCAATGAAAATTATACCAAACTGGAAATAGATACCAACTAATTGACACTTAAGTTGATAAGGTTCAATTTAAAAATTACTGAAGAAATACCTTAAACTAAATGGGATAACTATCCTAGTTGTAAAATTAGTTAAATCGATTATATAACATTTAAAAACCTATTTAAAACTTAAGAAACCACTTTGCAAATTAAGCAAAAAATAGAGAAGCCTAAGGTTCCATCTAAAAAATACTATAAAAATAATGGAATCTCAAACTTAGAGGATTATATCAAAAATATAGATAGTTTTCTAGCCCTTCTATCGATAGCTATAAAATAAGTCAAACTTATTACCTAAAATTTCATTTTTTTTTTTTTTTTTTTAAAATGACTTAAAGAGTTTATTATGTTGATCAGCCAATTTAATGGCTATAAAACATAGATTACAAATAGGAACAAATAACGTGAGATCATAACAGGGTGGTGAATAACAAATTTTTATAACCTATACTACAAACTAAGACGACAATTTAACAACGCATTACTGCTTCAGGACTCGTGAGACGTGACGTCCTCTTGTCCAGAGATCGCCGGGATGCCTTCGCTTCAGCCTTCTCCTGTTCGTCGGGTTGGCCAAGGAAGCTGCTAGGTGGTTGGGGTGTCCTGTGAGGCGTTCGTTGTACCGACTCGAGTGCCGGTTAATCTGATCCCTGACCGAGGGCATGTGGAGATCGTTGGCTAGGTCTATGTTTCTGACGTACCACGGCGCATTCGTGATTGTTCGCAGCGCCCTATTTTGGACTCTTTGGACCTTCATGACGTTAGAGTCGGAAGCCATGCCCCAAAGTTGGATGCAGTACGTCATTGAGGGCACCACTATTGCTCCTGTTCCTTGTTCTCATCTTCAACTCAATGCTACGTATATACCACTTCCCCTCTCAATGGAAGTGTGCTGTGATAACGATGATACCAAAGCCAGGAAAACCGGAGAATCTTGTCGAGTCATATCGACCGATAAGCTTGCTACCCACGTTCTCTAAAATATTCGAGAGAATATTTCTTAGTAGAATTTTGGGAGTAAGAAGCGTGCAGGATGCCATTCCCGACCACCAGTTTGGTTTCAGGCATCATCATGGGACCCCAGAGCAAGCACATCGACTTGTCCAGCACATCTTAAATGCTTTTGAGAATAAGCAATACAGCTCTGCTATTTTCCTCGACGTCAAGGAAGCATTTGACCGTGTATGGCACGAAGGACTACTCCATAAGTTGAAGACCCTACTCCCGACAGGCCTATTCCTTGTTCTCAAATCCTACCTGCTTGATCGTAGCTTCATGGTCGAGGTAAGAGGGGAAAGGTCAAGCATAAGATTTGCTCGTGCTGGCGTTCCACAGGGAAGCGTCCTGGGCCCCGTTTTATACACCCTGTTCACCTCTGATCTGCCGTCTATCAATGTACCGGACACTCTTCTCGCCACCTACGCTGACGACACTGCCTTCCTTGTAAATTCCACCTGCCGTATTGAAGCATCAAGGATAACCCAGGAATTTCTTGACTCCTACGGCAAGTGGACAAACAGGTGGAACATTGCAATTAATGGCAGAAAGTCTCAACACTGCAACTTCACCCTGAGAGGACAGATCCTTCCAACAGTTGAGCTCCTTAACACCACCATCCCACAATCTCCTCAGGCGCAGTACCTGGGTCTGATCCTGGACAAACGGCTCACCTGGAAGCAGCACACCACAAAAATTGCAGCTACATGTCGCGCTAAGCTAAGGAAGCTCAACTGGATGCTCAAATCAACGAGCAAGCTCAGCCTTGCCTAAAATTTCAAACCCACAAATTTAAATCAAAGAAAAGAAAAGCAGATCAATCTTAATTAGTTTCTGTGCCTTTCCAAGCAAAAGGCACAATCGAAATTTTTTATCTGTGGCTAAATTCCCAAAAAAAGAAAAGCCACTCGATTAACTCATTTCCAGTTCGATGCAAAGGACATTCCTTTGGCTCTGTTTACTGGCAAATCAACTTCATTAGGCATGGATGGCAGAAGAATGAAGAAAGGGCAAACAAACAAACAAACTGATGAGTTCATTTCCTTTTTAGACACATTCAAAAAAGAAAATAGAAGGGAAAATGGAAAGAGAAAAAGAAAGAATTTGAAAAGCCAAGTAGGCAGAGTGGAAAAAAGGGGACGAAGGACTCAGGACTCAGGACACATGTCCTGCGAGGCCTGGGCAAACTAATTAGCAAATGCACATAGAGCGGAGAAACAACTGTCGACGTTTTAGACGGATGGTTGGATCGACTAAGGAGGCTCCGAAGGATCCCAAGGATGCCAGAACTGAACTGCCAATTACTTTTGCATATACCAATACATATATACCAATACATGCCGCAGGCGCCTTGGAAATCGGTCTCGGCCCCCGAAACAAGGACAACGAAGGATACGGGCAAAAAATTGTTAAATTGATTAAAAAGCAAAGTGTCGATGAACGAGGCAATGATGACAGCAGGCACTCAGCCACTCGGTCGGCGAGGAGTCAGGATCAGTGGCCAGGATATGCCAGCCAGGACATGCCAGCCAGGCCAAAGTCAATTCAATGAAAGAGAAGCCACCGGCAGGGGCGAGAAAAAATATGGGAAAAAAGAGCTAAAACAGACACGAACGGCAAAAAAGTGAAAATAAAATGCCAGTGGCGTCGGCAGGATGGTTGCACATCCTCCTGCGTCCTGCGTCCTGAAATGGAGCCAAGCCAAATATGCTCTCATGTGCGTGGAGCAGTGCAGTTCTGCGAGGGCAGCTCACAGAGTTCACAGCCAGCTTAGAACTAGAACATAGAACATTCATAATTTACACAGATAAAAACTTGGATTTTTTTATTTCATATTTAATTTAAATATTTTTGCGGTTTATATGGCAATATTAAATTTAACAATTATAGTTAATTTACACATTTTCAACTTGGATTTTAAAACTATTATATTTTTTTAATGACATAAAATGTTTAAAGTAAATACGATATATATCATATCTAAAATGTTTTTCATTGATTTAAATAATTTCAGATAAAATCATTTAATTTACCAATTTTTAGCATTTAATAATATACGTTTATTTAAATCGTTTATTTATTTATTGTATTTATTTGATTTTCATTTTTTTACGCTATATTTAAAAGGCCGAGCTGGTAAAATTTTATCAATATTTTATAATTAAGTAAATGGAGTTTCTAATCTTATGAATTTAAATTCTTAGAAACCGTTAGAAACTCCTCGTTCTCCCCCTCGAATTTTTTGCACTCGATTCCTGGGCATCGTGTGGAAGTGATTTTTTTACCCACCATTTGCAGTTGTAGTTTGCCTTTTTCCCCCTTTACCCCCTTTTCGGCTCCTGTGCTTTTGCTTCTGCCGCAGGCCTTTGTCCTGTCGATAGAAGCGGCCGGAAGGGGGACGGATATAGAGAGATAG